TGTGTGTGTGTGTACCATCAAATCAGATCTGACTGGTACAGGAGTAGATTGTCCCTCCTTCTCCAGCAGAGCATTTGGTGGATTCAAATCGTGCACCTTTGGGATTGCGGTGCAGCTTCTTGCCAGTAGGCCACCAGAACTTGCCCAAATCTATTAAGATGATTTTTAAATTCAGGAGGATAGACTCAACATCATATTTTGATTCCTATGGACTTGTTTTTATTTTCTTCAGCCTCAATTTGAAATTGCACATGAGTAATTGATGATCTGCTTCACAGTCAGCACTTGACCTGATTTTGGCTGTTGACTTTGAGCTTCTCCAGTGATTTCTTCTATAGATGTAATCAATCTGATTTATATGCAATTCATCTGCTGAGGTTAATGTGTAAAGTCACCTTTTGTGTCTTTTTTAAAAAAGGTATTTGCAAATCGCTGAATTTATAAAATTCAATCAATTAATTTCCCACCTAATTTCTGTCACCAAGTCCATACTTTCTGACTACTATTCCTTTTTCATTGTTTCCAACTTTTGTATTTCAGTTCAAAATCATTATCATTAACACATATATATTGTGCATTTTGTCAATTTTAGACTACAAACTTTTTTCGAAATCTTTAAGAATCTTTGAAAGCAAAGAATACCAGAAAGTTTGTTTGTGCTTTATTGACTATGCAAAGGCATTTGACTATGTGGAGCATAACAAATTATGGCTAACACTGAGAGAAATAGGAGTTTCAGAACACTTAGTCATGCTCTTGCAAAACCTATATACCTATGGAAAAAATGTATACAAACTTTGTAAAGAAACAAGTATAAAATAAAACAAACAAATAAAAAAACCCACAAAACCCTATACCTAAACCGAAAAGCTGTTGTGTGAACAAAGCAAAGGAATACTACAAGGTTTAAATTTAAGAAAGATATGCATCAAGATTTCATCCTTTTTCTATACCTACTTAATATGTATGATGAACAAATTATCTGAAAAGCTGGACTTTGAAGAAGAATGTAGGTTCAAGATCGGAGGAAGACTTGTTGATAACCTTCATTATGCAGATGACACAACCTTGCTTGCTGAAAATGAGGAGGACTTGAAGCATTTGCTGCAGAAAACTAAGCCCTGCAGCCTCCAATGTGGATTGTATACCGATGTCATGAAAACAAAAATTTTCACTACTGGACTGATGGCCAACATCATGATAGAGAAAAGAACAAAACTGTCAACAATTTCATCTTACATGGCTTCACAATCAGTGATACACTTTGAACCAGCAGTTAGGCGATTAGGAGGTGTATTGAACTGGGAAAGTCTGCAGTAAACAACTTCTCCAAATTATTGAGGAGTAATGATGCTCCTGATTCAGACTATATGGTCTTTTCAATCACATGCATCTGAGAGCTGGACAATGAATAAGGATAACAAGAAAAATTGATCTCTTTCACCTGTGGTATTGGAGAAAAGTACTGACTATGTCATGGACTGACAAAAGAACAAATATGTCTTAGAGAAGGTGCAGCCAGGGTGCTGCTTGGAGGCAAGGATGGTGAAGCTTCATCTCACAAACTTTGAGCATGTTGCTAGGAGAGACTATTCCTTAGAAAAGGACATCATGCTTGGAAGGTGGAGGGATGGTGAAGGAAAAAAGACCCTTAAGCAGATAAATTAACATAGTGACTGCATCAATGGGCTTGAATATGTCAGAGTTTGTGAGGATGACACAGGATAAGACAGAGTTCAGATCTGTTGTTAGTAGGGTTGCTATGAATCTTACTGGATTTGAAAGCACCGAATGACAACAAAGATTCTCACCACTGGGCCACTTGACAGCACTATGATAAATGATCGAGATTGTTAACAACTTTAGCTTGTTTGGTTCCACAATCATCACTCTTGGAACCAGCAGCCAGGAAATCAAGAGACACATTGCACTGGGAAAGTCAGCTGTCAGGGACCTCTCCAGAGTACTGAAGAGCAACGACATCAGTCTGGAGACTAAAATGCACCTGATCCAGACCATAGTCTTCGTAATTGCTTGCTATGTGTCAGAGAACAAAATAATAACTAGAGATGATAGAAAGATAATTGATACCTTTGAGCTGTGGTGCTGGAAAAGAGTGTTGAATATACATACCATGGACTGCTTGGTGAACAAACAGGCTAGTCCTAGAGAGGGTGAAGCCAGGCTGCTCCTTGGAGGCAAGGATTCTGAAGCTTTGTCTGACATATTTGTGCATGTTGCGAGGAGGGACATCGTTCATGGAAGGGTGGAGGGAGAAAGAGAGAAAGAGAGGGACACCATTGATAAGGTGGATTGATTCAGTGAGTCGGGTAGTGAGGGTAGATGTGTCAGAGACAGTAAAGTTGGCACAGGATACAGCAGTTTTCAAGGGAATTGTTCATAAGTTCGCTGTGAGTTGCAAGCAACTCAACCGCACATAACAACAACCATTCTAAGTTATTTTTTTAATTATAGTGAGAAGTGGGAATTAATTTGTTTCCCAAATTAATGTCAAATTTCCTAAATATTGTTTCTAGAAGGGACTAGCATTCAACATACAGCAAAATTATGTAAACTTCCTACATTACCAAGCACTATGAAGGAACAAGTTAGCACTTATAGAGATTCAGGATCAGACCCTTAAGAAGTATCAGGGGGAGGAGAATTATCAAGATCATCTATGGCCGTACCACCCTGAATGTGCCCAATCTTATCTGATCTCAGAAGCTAAGCAGGATTGATCCTGGTTCGTACTTGGATGGGAGACTACAGGAGAATACCACGCGCTGTAGGCTTTTTATTTTTTAATTTTTTTAATACCAAGGACTCTTATTATATGTGGCTACCAGTGTATATAAAATAATTACTACCCTTATGAAATAGAAACTCATGAAAATTCAGAGAGGTAGATATTAAGAACTGACAAAAGTAGAAATCTGTATAGTATGGCACATGCGTTGTAGGGATAAGCTTTTGTACAGGCTTCATAGTTAGCTCTCCTTTGAATGTTCACTGATTCTTAAGAGTTTAGGAAATCTTTGAAAGATTCATTTTACTACAAAAATGAACAGACTTTCTGGGGCTTAAAGGGATTTGTACTTGAAGATACTCCAGTCAGCAAGGGGTCATGTTGAGCATTCTGTAGACAGAATTGTTTCAAATCTGCAGCTGCCTGGGAAACCTTCAGGTGGTTGAGCCCCACTTCCAGCCGAAGCTGCTGAACCACTTTCTTTATAGCGATGACAGAGGAGCCAGACATGGTGAGATAGAGCGAGGCCAATTCTCCTTTCAGGATCTGTCCCTGTGCGGGTGAGTCGGCTGGTGACTCACCGGGCCAGACACCAGGACCTAAGCTTTTCATTTTTGAAGTAAAATTGGCTTTTAAAAGAAAAAAAATAATTATCAAGGTCAATTGGCATAACATAATCCACAAAAACAATATTTCACAAATGCTCTACATCTTTTGGTGAATAACCATTGGAGTTTTAAAGGCCCATCTAAGGTAGAGTTTGTTCTCTGGAACAAAAAACAGCAAAGAAAAATCTAGGGCATTATATCAAGGATTAATGAGCTTCAACTTCCACTGCCTTCAAACTCAAGCTCATTGCCAAGTTTGAGTTAATGAATCATGAACAACTCACCTCTCCAATGGCCTTTCAAGAGAGTGTAAATCACACAGGAAAAGACTGTCTATCTTTATACCGTGGAGCCACTGGTGAATTTGAACCACCAGAAAGGCTACATCTTTGGGTTAGTAGTGCACTAGACCATCCCCTACTACCCTGAGACCTGAAGAAATAGATGGTGCCCTGCAACTACTGCTGACCAATCTAGAAGGGATCATAGTTGAAGAGTCCTGGAAAGAGTGGGAGAAAAATGTGAAACAGAACTAAAAATCACAAGGATGACCAGGCTCGTTGATCTAATAAAGACTGATGGAATCTCCAAAACTATGGCCTTTAATAACCTTTTGAGCTCTTTAATCCTTAAGGAATTACTTTCAGCCAAAAAATATACATACAAGTTGAATAAAAATAGCATTGAGGAATTCACTTCTTAGAACAATTTATCATTCAAGATCAAAAGGGCAGTGTTTGCCCAGAGGAACATCTCAGAAGGCAGAAAGGACACAAGGTCAATGGAAATTAAAATTACAGGGAGGAATTTGTAAGGATGTTATTATGACAACTATAATGGTCATAAATAAAAATTTGCATGAATGATTGAATAGAAAATCTACAGCTCTGTAAACTCATTCAAAGTACAGTAATATAAATACAATTTTAATTTCTATATAGAATATTATAAAAGCTCTAAAAATATCTAAATCTGGATCAAACTAAATTGGAGTTGAGTAAAACTAAGATGATTATCTTTGTTTTCCACTAACTATTTTCAAATGCATTTCCCCCCCTTCCTTTTGATTCTTATATCCTTGCAGTATGAATTGGCTTAATGGTATCAGCTTTACTCCACTCCCTTCCTGCCTTTGTAGTATGGTTGGATTATTATAAAAATAACTATGAGCACAGTGTGGTCAATAGTTATGAACATAGTGTGGTCTGTAGGAATACTCCTCACCCTATAAAATCACCTTCCCTACTGGACACCATTGAAGATCCCAGTATGTCCAGACTGTAACATCTGGACACAGTGCTGTTCATTTTCACCTAAGTAAGTTTCCTCTGAAACAAAAAACTGATGTCTTTCAGCTTGATTCTGGGTCAGTGTTTCTGTCTCTCTGTGAACATTTATCCTGAGGAATATTCCTTCCTGAGTTTTAAGTGAAACAATTTTATACGAAAATACCGTAATAGACTATGAGATCCAGTGTGATTCAATGAAAGAGCAGAATTTTAATTTTTTTAAAAAAGAAGAAAGAGAAAAAGACCAGCTTTGCCCCACTAATTGCAGTAATAGCTATCATGTGACACTGTATCCTTCTGTTTCTATTCCCTCTTCCTTTGGCCTGTTTATCTGTCCTTGCACAAATACTTTGTTTTCTTCATTAGTGTAGTTTATAATATCTCTTGATATTTGGCAGTGTAAATCTCTCAGCAACATTCTTAAGGATTACTTTCTAGCTCCTTTGTATTTTCTTATACAGTTTTAAATTAAAGTATCTAATGCCACAAATAAACATTCATGGTCATTGTTTAGAGCTCTCTTCCTGTCAGGACACTGAGATCCCAGATCACCTTTCAAAGTTTGCCTGATGGACAAGAAATCAGAGTCCAAAAAAAAAAAAAAGAAATCAGAGTCCAGGTTTGCGCAAAGCATGGGGTATGTGGGAGGGGTAGATTGGGGTGGATATTTTATCCAAGTCAGTGATTTCCTCTTTCTTTCTCCAATTTCTCCTTTAAAGCTACTTTTTTATTAAGTAATGATATTTCTAGCAAGTTCTTTTTTTTCCC